TCAAGTACCGCTTTATCTAGGGCTAGACTTAGTAAATGATTTCGTGTTCCCCCGAAGGCTACCAGCGAAAAAATGATAAAAAAATGCTTTTTCGTATCTCAAAAAACCCACGAGTATATTCCTAATTAAAGCCTCTCTGCTCAACTCGAAGTACAACAGCTTGAACTTTCTTAATTTTTTTTTTTTTATGATTGAAGGATTTCTGTTGGCCCGGAGGCCTTTCCAGTTTCACCAGGACAGGTGGGCGAGCAAAGGCTCAGCCAGGAGGGGTGAGATTTGCTAAAAGCTGCCCTAACGCCTCCGAAGAAGACCTAACAACTCAAGAACAGCTGCTTCGCGAATGAATCTACTACCGGATCGGAATAGCGATCCGCTGAGAAGAGCTGATGAGAAACTCAGCGAGCTGATTTCATGGGTTAGGTTGCACATCGAACTCTTTGTCGAGTTCGACGAGTACGATTACCGGGGTCCCTAAGCCTGCTCCTAGTGTTAGAGCTGAAGGCGTTGGCTTTTTTAGTATTTCTCCGCAGAAAATCTACGTGATTATTCGTCTAGCAATGTCATCAAAAACTTTGATCAGCTGTCTGAGTAAGTACACGATATAAATAACATTTACATTTCTGTTACATAATCATTTGCGAGTATATTTTTTCAAATAATTAAATCCTCAACTATTGCTTTCACATATAAGGCTTAGAGAGGTTCTATAAAGGTTATAAAAATTCACAAGAGTTTAACTAGATTGGCGCACGTGCCTCGACGGACGTAGACAAAACCTTGATTGATCGTGATCGCTACTAAGTATAATACAGAACAAAAAAATAAAATAGGGAGACAGTTTTTTTTTTGTATTAAACGTTTTAGAAGTTGTTCCAAATGTCTAACGTTTGCAATCAGAGGTCCCGAAGAAAGCCCGTTAGAGTGTCAACAGTTTTTATTTTTAGGAATGAATTTAAATTTAAAAAAGGAAATCAGAAATACGGAAAGTTTTTCAGATTTTCCAAAGGTATCAAATAAAATTTGTATCATTATTTTGAGAGAGCCCGTGCAGATTTTACTCTAAGTGTTATTTGTATTACTAAAAAACCTCAGGAAAGCAGATATACTCTATCGACAACAATAACTATCTTCAATAGCTTAAGCAGACACTGAATACAAAAATCAATCTGCTATTTCTTTTTTTTTTTTTTTTTTCGAACATTTTTTCCCTAGCAATACAATTATAAAAGACTTCAATCGAAGTGGGCTGTGCACGATCTTGATTGTTTATCTGCCTCTCGTTTTCACTTTTCGTGAACGGCCAACATCCGAAGGTCGGCGCGAAATTAAAAGTGTTTTTATGTCTGATTACACAGGGCTATTATGAACCGTATCGATCTTACTCGCTCCCTTTGAGCTTTGGTTCTCTCGCATAGCGACAATACGAGAGTATTGATATTTATCAAGAAGCTTTCACTTATTTCGATATAATAACAGTTTCAATAAATACTGTAAATAAGTAAGTAGTATTTGTGGAAATAAAATTTGTAATACCTTTAATGTCTACCAAATTAAAATCATTCACGGCTTGGTATACAGTAGAGACTTAAATTTACTGAAATAAAATAGCATCGTCAAGATGATAATTCCGGTGAGTCTACTGATTGGTGTTCACCAATTCGGCGTCCTGAGAGGTGATGTAGAAAAAATTTAGCTTAGAAAAAACTACGCTACAATGCCCCCTTGCCTTCCTTCCTTGACTTTTTTTCAGCTCGGTCCAGATGATTGGTTTCGAAAGGTTATCGACCCAACAAAAGACTGATGATGTGGTGAAGGCTAAATCGTTTTCCTGAATTCAAAGATTTCAGTTACCTACTTAAAGCAGCGACTTGGCTGTGCCCCTGGAATTGCTGTCGTCCATAAGCTACTGCAACCACTTACCACCACGTACGTTGGTCTGCCTACAAAGTAAATAAAATAAAAATTCACAAAAAAAAACTTCATATTTCATTTATATACATTACTAGCCAACCCGGCAGACTTCGTAGTGCCTTAATCGAGAAATAAAAGACCTAGACTTTTGTATAAAATAAACTTAAAACAAACAAAAGGAATCCGTCCGACAGGGGAGATACATTAAAGGAAAAACAAAATTGTTATTTTTATTTAATTCCGAGCATTTTCATATTTATCTATATTTGAAACCTTTTCTGGACTTCCACAAATAATTCAAGACCAAAGTTAGCCAAATCGGTCCAGCCGTTCTCGAGTTTTAGCGAGACTAACGAACAGCAATTCATTTATAAATATATAGATTTAGCGGATTATTAAATATTTGATTCTTACCCGAAAACTTACCTTACTTACCTAACCGAGATATCAAATAATACCTTGCTAAACATAACCCAACAACACATTTTCTTGTGGCTTCATAATTATATTGACCAGTACGGGGAATTCAAAATCGACTCGTAAAAAGGTGTTCGTCCAATCCCTTTCAGTTCCATGTTGTTGTTATCCATAACAAAGAAGTAGAATTATCGATTCGGTTATGGATTTTTTTGCTAAAAATCAATCACGCAAAACTTGGTCAACGCTCAGAAAAAACGTTGTATCGTAAGTTTTGCTTCTAGAGATATTAAAAGAAACCTCTCATATCATTTCATTTCTTTAATATATGACAATAACTTTCATTAGGTATTGTCATACTACATAATATATAAATATCAAAAATTGAATTACAATCAATTAGAATTAAAATTAGAATAAAATTAGAATTAAACTTAAAGTAACATTTATGGGTCCCAAGTCCAGGCCCCCGGACAGAGACGTTTACGTTATCATCACATTCTTCATTCATTATTAATCTATAGCGTATTTCATTATACTATTATTTCTGTTGTTGGCAATTTTTATACTGTTTATAGCGAATTTCAGGAACGCTTCTCTAGCACTGTCGTCCTCGATAATACTGGGGAAGTTTTGAGTGTCCATGGCAAAGTCCAAGATCTGTTCTGTTTCTATGCGTCTAAATCCGAACCTAGGACATTCTGTTAGAATGTGGAGGACAGTTTCACAGACCCCGCCATCACACTCACAGTAGGGATTGCTTTTGAGTTTGAACCTAAATAGATATTCGCCNTTCGGATCCTGCCGATGACGAAGGCCACCCCCGCGCAGGAAAGACGGGCAGACTCTCGCAAGTCCCTCCCCCGGGCCACGACCAAAGTGTCGTCCGCGTAGCAAACTACGCTCAGACCCGGGAGAGGAGTGCTTAGGGCGCCACGCAAGACCCAGTCGTAGCCGATGTTCCACAAGAGAGGGCCAAGGACCGACCCCTGTGGAACACCGCGCTGGACGGGGAAGTGGAGCACCGCCCCACCGTGCTAGTTACAACGGCTATCCCAACCCTTCAAACCGAAACGCATTACTGCTTTACGGCAGAAATAGGCAGGGTAGTGGTACCCACCCGTGCGGACTCACAAGAGGTCCTACCACCAGTAATTACGCAAATTATAATTTTGCGTGTTTAATTTTTATTACACGATGTTATTCCTTCACCGTGGAAGTCAATCGTGAACATTTGTTGAGTACTTATTTCATTAGAAAAATTGGTACCCGCCTGAGATTCGAACACCGGTGCATCGTTCAACACGAATGCACCGGACGTCTTATCCGTTAGGCCACGACGACGACAAAAGTGTGTTCACACTCTGGCTACCATGGGACTACATATCATGGATAAACGAAATAACGGCTCATCTCGTGTTAAGTAGCTTCCAGTCCGTAGACATCACAACGCAAAATCGTTAATTGTATTTTAATGCGTCTGTCTCACTCTTCAAACTGAAACGCTGGAAAAGCTTCTCGGCAGAATTAACAGAATTGAGGTTCTTGTTGGTTTTTACCATATCCTGCCCCCAGTATATGAAATACGAAAAATTTATAACCATGTATACGTATCTTCTTCTTCATCGTTCCCTCACTGCTCAGGATTGCGACCACGTGCGACTTTCCTCCACAGTGCTCTATCATTCGTGACATGGACCGCATGGTATAGATTGCTACCAACTACTTTCTTAACCAGATGTGACCATCTGGCTAGTGTTTTGCTATTGTATAAAGTAACTTCCATCGTGCAATATCTGTGGTTTGATTAACAAATAAACTCTCTGTGTACGGAAGCGTATTGTTGCCACATTTAGATCGATTTTTCAAGCATTTCACGGTAGTCGGTAAGAAATCAGGTATATAAGATTGCGAATGATGTTACTTAACAACGAATCCGATGTAGAAAAGCGGCTTAAAAGATTTTCAAGGAAGAACTGTGTCGTCGTTAGTTAAACACTTTTTTGGACGGGCTTTTACCACAATTTTGAAATCGATTGTGTAATAGAGAGTGAAATGCTCGAAGTGTCCCTAAAAATCGAATCAGGATCGAGGAGATTCGCAAGAGGACCATGATAGCCGATATTATTCGAAGTTGGGGCCAAAAAATTCTTTAGTGGCGATTGCGCACCAGAAGACGCAGCGAAGGTAGGCCTCCTCAAGGTGGATTAAGTAAAAGATCTGCAGAGGGGGTGTTGAGACTGTTCACTTTTCCTAAATTAGCGATGATTCTTCCCGAGTGATCGTCTGTTGGGATAATGGTTCTTTCAATAACGCCGTAAAATCGCTGTAAAAAAGAGTTTCAAAAATGTAGGTGGATTATGATGACTAAGAGAACTCTTCCCTCGACGACTAAGGGGATGGAATTCAATACGCAGGGAAGATTATATCCATGTCACCTCCAATAGCAACGTTGCCGAGGCGAGCGCTGCTGAAGACAAAAGTGTATGATGCCCTGATTCGTCACAACAACTAGAATTAATTAGAAATCGACGCATCGAGTGAACTTCTGTGTCCATATTATCTTATTCTTATTCTTTCTTTGCTATTAACCTCTGCTGGGGTATAGGGCTCGAATCAAATTCTTCCATTTGTATCGGTCTTGGGCAGTCTATTCTACCTCCTCCCACGTCATGATATTATCTGCTGTTAAGGATAAGTTTACTTCTCGGGTCAGTGACCTCGCGATTTGACAGCTTCGGTATCACTTGGCCACGTGCGCTACGATCATAACAAGCAGTAATGAAGAGAGATATGCGAACCTAATTCGGATACATAAAGTTCATGGTTCAGTAATTTTAACGTGATCTCTTCTAGTCGACAAGTTTAATACCATCCGAGATTCATTTTAATTATGAAAGTAATTAAACAACTTTAATTATACGCTGAAGAAAGTCGTAAACACGAATTTTATGGAAAACAGTCTTGAGAGACCTCGGATTTGGTAAAAACACCGAGTTTTTAGATTTTTTTCTTTACAAAAATCTTCAGCAAGACCGTTTTCCTTAATACTTTCTCTGTCTTATACTCGATTTGGAGATACCACACTCATGCGTGGATAACAACAAGTGCTCGCAATGACCCTCCACGGCTTAAATGGTAGTTAAGCAATTCATGTTAACTATAATACAACCGCAAAGCAGTCTGTGTTTAGGTTCGAAACAATTTTTTTTTATTGCTTAGATGGGTGGACAAGCTCACAGCCCACCTGGTGTTAAGTGGTCGCTTGAGCCCATAGACATCTACAACGTAAATGCGCCAGCCACCTTGCGATATAAGTTCTAAGGTCTCAGTATATTTACAACGGCTGCCCCACCCTTCAAACTGAAACGCATTACTGCTTCACGGTAGAAATAGGCAAGGATGTGGTACCTACCCGCGCGGACTCACAAAAGGTCCCACCACCAGTAAAAAGTTGTTCCAACGCTTCCGAAGCTTTAAGTATTGGTTGTAACTATACTGAGAACTTAGAACTCATATCTCAAGATTGTGGCGGCATTTATGTTATAAATGTCTATGGACTCCGGTAACCACTTAACAACAAGTGGGCTGTAAGGTCACACGTGTACGCAATAAAAAAAATCCTTTTAATTACAGAATCCTACGATGGTGAATATGCTATTAGCTGGTTATGATAGGAACACAGGCAGTGCACTATACGCCCTGGACTTCTTGGCTTCTTGCGTCAAAGTGCCGTACGCTGTCCACGGCTTCGGAGGCATCATCAGCTTGGGTATCCTGGATGACCTCTACAGACCAAGTAAGTTTGAAGAAAATGTATATTTATTGCTATATTGGGTGGACACCCTTCAAATCGAAACGCAGTACTGCTTCACGGCAGAAGTGGGCAGGGTGGTGGTCCCTACCCGTGCGGACTCGCAACACGACCTACCACCAGTAAATAGAACATTGTTGTAGTAGTATGCAATTAAGATAGCAAAACCGCAATGTTTTTCTTTTTAATTTTCATTTTGCCACACTTAGATATCCTGTCGTTTATCTTTTCCGCAGCGTTATCGCAAACAGAAGCTTACGAAGTATTGAAAATTTGCATCAGGGAGATACAGAAGAGACTGTTTGCTAATCTGAAGAATTTCCAAGTTAAGATTGTGTCTAGATGCGGCATCAAGACTCTGCCGACGATAAACGCAGATACTTTTAGTAAATAAATGGTCTATTTTCTTGTAAAAAAATTAAGTTTTGTCAATGATTTATTGAAATATATCCGAAGAAATCCGATGAATGATAAACATTAAAAGTTTTCAAGTTAGGGTTTTCTCCCGTGTTATGGGGGTCGGGAGTATTGATAGAGGATGGGAATACGTGACGTTTATAGTTCTTTTGCTTCGGTTTTCGTGAATCGCAGAGCTACTTTTAGTAAATAGATGATATATTTACTAGTAAAAAATTAAAATTTTGTCAATGATTTAACTATATCCGAAGAAATCCGATTAATGTTAAACATTAAATGTCTTGAAGCTAGGGTTTTCTTCCGTGTTATGGGTTTCGGGAGTATTGATAAGTGATGGGAAATACGTGACGTTTATAAATTTTTTGCTTCGGTGTTCGTGAATCGCAGGCATAATTAGCTACTTTTAGTAAATAAATGATATATTTTCTAGTAAAAAATTAAAATTTTGTCAATGCTTTAACTATATTCGAGAAATCCGATGAATGTTAAACATTAAAAGTTTCCGAGTTAAGGTTTTCTCCCGTGTTACGGATCTCGGGAGGATTGATAGGTGATGGGAATACGTGACGTTTATAGTTTTTATTTTTCGGTTTTCGTGAATCATAGTCACAATTTGTCTTTTTATTATTAGTTACCACCAAAGGTCGATCATACGGCCAAATTGATGAACTTCTTACTTAACGCGGTTGACAATCGACAATTCTTCCATGTACTAAGATAAAATAATTACCGGTCATCGTTCTCTTCGAATCCTTCGCTTGCGACGAAGGGCTCAACGAGTAAATTAACCCTCAGACACAGCCCACTGAATTTCTCGCCGGATCTTCTCAGTGGGTCGCGTTTCCGAAGCACTGCTCTTGCTAGGCCTAGTGTTAGCAACGTCGTCAGGTTTGAGCCCCGTGAGCTCACCTACTAATTAAGGCTACGCTGAAATGGTCTCTCAAGACCATCAGCTTAGCTAGGAATCAAAAAAATAATGAAGGCCAAGGTTCTACGAAAACGTTCCCAATTTCTTCTCGTATCTCGTATATAAAGGAATACATTGCAGATAATTGTACAGTATGTAAACACACGTCAAACTACAACACAATGACACAGGTGATAACGAACGAAACGCGATAGACTCGTTATCGCGTACCCACATCACGACGTGCACGGAAAGGACAACTCTTTAAGTATAATACTCGCAAGGATGCGTGTGATAATTGTAGAGAATTGTAAATGATAATAGCCACCTTGGGCTACTTGGTGAAGCCGCATGGGTAAACAGAGCATCGTACCTTTTTTTTGTGTCTCAAGCAGTAGTATCGCGAGGGAGGGGCAAGAGGGGCATCATACCTCGGGCGCTACTCACACAGGGGCGCCAAAAGGTCCGAAAAAAAATACTACTACCACTGTATGACCCTATGACCCCGAAACGGGTCTTGGCCTCCGACAATATATTTGAATATGCCATGCGATGTTGATGTGCCGTTTAATTATTAAAATAGTTAAACTACCATAGTAAACATAGTTAGAGAGGAACGTAGTGCTGAAGGACAAGAGAGAATGCAATGTTGCTGACGAGGATGTCGAAGACAGAGCGAAGTGGAGGAGTAAAGTCAGGAAAGCTGACCCCACCACCATATCGGATAAATAGCTGGGAAGAGAGAGAGAGTAAACATAGATAGAAAGTCGAAATTGGACAGCCTTTTACATATACGAACTGTAGTTTTAATAGTCACTGCCGAATAAAACTACAAAGTGGTACAAAATGAAAGAAAAAAAGCAATTCGGGTCATTAAGTCTTTTTGTTTTTTAGTGAAGACTAGCGACCCGCCCTGGCTTCGCTTCGGAAACTGTAATTTATTCTTGATTTCTCCATTATTTAATGGATGTTATTATACATATTATAAACCTTCCTCTTTAATCACTCTATCTATTAAAAAAAACCGCATCAAAATCCGTTGCGTAGTTTTAAAGATGTAAGCATACATAGGGATATAGGGACAGAGAAAGCGACTTTGTTTTATACTATGTAGTGATGAGCAGGATCTGTTGATGAGTTACAGGATCGCGGGGCGCTCGATTTGCGATTGGTGTGATTAATTGCTGAAATCGTTGCCGAAATTATTCCTCTAGCGTTTAAGCCGTATTTACTAGTGGGTAGTTAATTTATTAATACCCATAATGACACAACTCAATGTCGGTCAAACCAATTTTATTCGAAACCACAAGCCTTAATGTTCATTCAATTGTGTTTTATCATTCGCGTAATGTATTATTGTAAAAGACAAATTACATAAATGCGGTTTTGTAATTGTATATGTTGTTTTAGAATAATGTTTGTAGTTATAATAGCGATATTTACCTTGCCTCATAGTAAGTGTGCTTACGTTGATATATCTGGCAACAATTCTGTATAGAGAATACAATATATATAGACTTATTGTTCGTGTAATTTTTTGTCGCTAGTAAAAAATATCAGTTTACATTATGTAATTTTTTTTTGTCTGTCTTTGTAGACACAACGAGAATACAACTCACCTGATGACGAGGCGTTACCGTCGCCAATGCATGACCGTTAAAAATATATATTAAATATAAATCTGCCATTTACGGTAAATATTATTTTGATACTCTTATGCATACAATATATTATGTGCAAAATTTATACTAATTACGGATATTGACTTTGTGGCGGTAAGGTGAGAAGTTTGTGTATTGTTTTTTTTGTTAATTTTTTGTTTCTTTATGTTGAAACGTAATGTGGTGAATTATTTACTATGTGTAGGATCTGTGAAAATGCACAAGTGTGGCAATAGAGAACAAAGCTGCTGGATTAGGCCTCTCGGCTTCCTCTAACAAAGTTGAAGCCCTGTGTGCTTAGTGCAGTTTTTTTAACTTCTCGATTAAGTAAAAGTTAACTCAGATTTGTATGAGAAGTTAAAAACTAACTAACTAAGCACACTCACGTCCTAGTATATTCTCATCACTTACTAAGACGTTATTTAATCTCACATCATTTCGTCTCGTTTCATTCAATTTCATCGTAATATATCTTATTTTCAAATAAATCAACCTCTTTTCATTTCACTCCTGTTTTCATTAAAACTATTTCAATAATTGAATTTTTTTGTAAATTAGGCACTGGCAACAATGTCATCGTACGAAGCGAATTGCTATACTAAAAAAAGAATTTTTTTACACATAATGCTTTTTTTTTAATTTGCACTACAAACTGCAGTCGCCTATTTGCCATAAACCAGTCTGAAATTATTGTCTATGAAATTGTCAACTGAAAAACACGTACCTACGCAATGTATCTAATTATAATTTCGTCATGGTCGTTCGAAATATCACGTTTAAGTACTGTCATCTCGTGTTGTTAGTATAGCTGATATAAGTGAGAGGTTTCACCGTCTAACTCAAGTGGAAAAGCGAAAGTACAAATGTAAATAAATAAAAAAGTTATTGCAATCAATGTGTTGGCAATGTTGTGTAATTAAACATTAAGTTTTATTAAAGGAAGCCGTAGACGTGTTTTGTGTTATAGTAAGACACCTAAGTATATTTTTAAAGGATTTTTTGTAAACACATTATACAGATGCTACTGTTTGCTCCCGATCCATTAACGGTGCTTTTAGGTATCACAAGCACCGGTCACCGTCCTCGTCGAACCCGTCGCTTGTGACGAAGGGCTCGACGAGCGAATTAATCCATAGACACAGCCCACTGAGTATCTCGCCGGATCTTGTCAGTGGATCGCGTTTCCGATCCGGTTGTAGATTCAGCGAAGCACTGCTCTTGCTAGATCCAGTGTTAGCAACACTCCGGTTTGAGCCCCGTGAGCTCTCCTACACGTTAGGGTGAAGCTGAAATAGCCTCAAGGCTATCAGCATAGGTAGGAAAATAACTGTTTGCTCTTTTTTAGAGTTTAGTATCACCAGTACGACTAACTCTCAGTGCTCTAAGGGATACAAAATATTTCGCCTACTTAGAGGGCTGATGATTCTGCCCAACATTCTACTAAGGGTGTGGTCTTTTTTTAATTTTTTTATTGCTTAGATAGGGAGACGAGCTCACAGCAACGCAAATGGCACCACCCACCCTGAGACATGAGTTCTAAAGTCTCAGTATAGTTACAGTCTTGAAATTTGCGTCAGCATTGGTTACCCTACTTTCTTTACTGCTCTTTTCGAGTCCAGTCTGGACGTGAACCATCTTGCTGGGTGGAAAAGCGATGGACCCTTAGTTAGCGTTTAACTCTTACATAGTAATCGACAAACTCAACACGCCCGTATTCACGTAAACGCAGATTTATATTTTCGATCCAAGGAAAACAAACATGTCGCTGTATGGCATGTTTTAAACCGTTTTTGTTTTTATTATAAAGCTTTCTCAAACAGTTTTACATAAGCTTTAGCGTATTAGGCATATTTGAAATAATAATTATTAAATTATTTAATAGAGCTTTCTGAACAAACACTGTTACATACTTTTTTGTTATCTGTGGCGTTTGTTTAACGACTGTATTCTTTCTATGTGAATGTAAACTATACTGAGATCTTAGAACTTGTATCTCGAGGTGGGTGGCGCATCTACGTTGTAGATGTCTATGGGCTCCAGTAATCACTTAACACCAGGTGGGCTGTGAGCTCGCTCATCCATCTAAGCCAGGGATTCCCAAACTTATTTTGTTCACTGCCCACTTTGAGAATAAATAATTTTTTAGCGCCCCCTTTTTTAACCTACTTAAAAACCACTATAGCTCATTCGGTGTCTAAGAGTCCTCCTAGATGAAATCACAAATCGCCTCCCAAGCCTCTACACAACGCCCTTATTTTTTTTCTGGGTGTCTTACCGCCCCCCTTTAGGCCTGCAGCGCCCACAGGGGGGCGTTATCGCCCACTTTGGGAAAGGCTGATCTAAGCAATAAAAAATACCTATTTACCTAATAGTCCGTATTACTTTACCGGATAATGAATGTTCTTAAAC